ATTATAGCTGTATAATTAGTTCTTAGTCAAGTCTTTTAATAGAGCTGGGCGAAAAAACTTTTGTAGCGCCCTATGTAAATGATTTTCTAATAAAGCGCTGCACATTTTTATATAATAAGTAACGTAAGGGTAACTAATAACTAGTTATCTTTGCCGTTTATCCGACGGTCATTACGAGCCACTAGTCACATATTGAGTCAAGCTATATGCTCAGTCAGTAGTCTGAAATGGATAAAATATACGAACACAAAATATTAATGAATTATCTCTGGATCGAATTTCGTCACAAGAAGGTAATGCAAAATTTGGTTGTTATCTGGTCGATCGAAAATTTAGGGGAATATTGAAGGAAAAAGTACGTGAAATAGAGTTGCCAAGCTATCAACACCTAGAAACTAGGTTGAACAAAGAATGGGAAATAATAACTTGTGATGATTGTAATAAGAGGATCACTAAAATTGTTAATAGACTTGACGAAGTGATAAGAAATGGTAATGAAACAAATATATGAGAGTGACATAAGATTTTTGTGTATTCATAATCCAGTATTTTTCTTTTGTGAAACACGGCGTCAAAGGAGTATTGAAGTATATATATGGCGAGAAATTTGAATCCACTCTTCCGGCTCGTTCCACAGACCTCACTCATTAAAAAAACTGATTTTGAACCAAGAAATCTTTCAGCAGAAGTATTCAGTGGTTTTATATATCATAGGTCGATGACTGCATGATGTCCCGCATAGAAAATGGCTAAATAGACGAGTTCACACGCCTTCAGGCGAAAATGAAATCGCTCTTCTATTATTTTCATGTGGAGAATTTCAGTGAATGATGAATTATTTTTTCAAATTGAACGATTTGTCGTGCTGATATAGAAATATAATGTTTAGAGATGGTTCTGTGCGTCGATATAAACGAATTTTATCATGTTCCAAGAGTTGTGAAACACTTACCACAACCATTATCGGAAAAGTCCATTCTTGCCCTGCCTTTTCCCTTCTAAGATAGTCTAAAAGACCTATCCCAAAACTTCCGCAATCACAACTAACGCCGGTGCAAATTGTCTTTCGTTCTATTTCTCACAGGCTTTGTTTTGAGATGAAACAGAATTACTTCATACTAAATATTTCCATTCTCTACTTAGCAACAACGACTGAATGCTGTGCCAGAACGTGCAGTGGACGTTTCAGTGATCAAATTAATACCACTACTTGCAGCAGTATTTGTCAAGATAGAGGCTTCCTTTTTTGTCGTTCTGGTTCAACTTATTGTACTGGTAGCTTCTTTGCTTCTGGTGGTTACTGTGACAGTGCTAATGGTGATCCTCCTTGTCCTGACGGTTATTGTTGTGTTTTTGACACTTAAAATGCTGCTAGACCTTATCTTTGTATAAGGTGTAATAATCCATGTAAGTCAATCAGGATATCACAATTACTTCTTTTTTAGAAGAAACATAGTTCTTTTGTATTGGATAATTCTATTGTTTATTTAGCATTGCCGAATATTTGTACTATACTCTGAAATAAAATGTGTCATGAGTTAATGTGTCGTATATTCCAGCATAAAAATGTGTTGCATTCATGTGTCGTGAATTAATGTGTTGTACATCCCAGCATAAAAATGTGCCGCGTTCTGTCTGTTCACTAGTCATTCACCGCTTTTGTTATGTACGCACAGCCATATATAAACAATATAGTTGAACCTAACAATGTAGGTGTTTGTGTTGTCAGTTAAAGAGATGGCACATTTTCGGATCAAATAAAAGCTCTCACCGCCAAACTAACAATATTAAAAAAATATTAGCTACCATTGGCTTGCCTAGAGGGAGACATTCGATTTTTATGGTACTCACGAGGAGTGAAGGTGAAGATAGTTCTATCACCCTCATCTCACCCCACGATTAGACACGTGGAAGACGAGTTATGAGCTGCGGGGCTTCTATTTGAGTTCAGTCAATAGATTGATCTTGAAAGTATTTTCCAGCTCGTAACCTCGTTTTTCATGTTGACTGATTTGAATGATCTGGGAATAGGTGAGGGTTAGAGGAAGGGTCAGTGTAATCTGTAATGCAAATAAAATAGACTCTTTTATTAATTGAATACAACTGAAACTAGGGGTCTATACCATGTAATGTGTCACGTACAAAAAAAGAAAAAAGAATATATTCATGTAGATTAATTGGAATTAACACTATTTGCTCCATCGGGTTCATTGAGATGATCAATTTCTGGATCAATACCACCAATCAACGCTTTAGTTATATAATCACCAAGCGAAAATGGATAGTTGGCACCTCGGAAACGACGAATTTTCTCTCTTTCTGTTCGAAAATCATCGATAACATCAACATTAATCATTCTTCGATCCCAATCTGTTAAATAATTCACACAAGCTGGATCATCAGTGTATAATAAAACCAAGACATATGTAGCTTCGGATCGACGTTCACTCACCATTAGACGCTCAAGTTCTATCACATTGATGTTCCTGTTGTCGTCGGTTGGTGCTCCATGAGTAGCAATGAATATAAGAACTTTTTTATCATTTCCTCTTTGCGTTGCTGGCAATTGAAATATATGCTTTAGAGTACGTACCAATGGTGAATAACCATGGAATGGAAGGGAATTGAAAATTGTTGATCGATTGCTTGAGGATCGGTCACATTGTAAATAGGTTGTCGATTGAGAAAATAAATATCAACAAAACTTGCATCGAATACGGTACCTATTTTTAATACAATCTTCACTATTGAATGAAGTTCACCCCATCGTGTACGATCAGTACCATCTACCGTTGTCTTCATTGAACCGGAATCATCACAAAGAATAATAATTTCATAATCTTTCAGTATATGAAGACGTTCACTTAGTGTTGTATCGATTTCATATTTAAGAGACAATTCATGAAGACGATCATTAACTATGCAAAATAAACACACTCAATAACAATTTCAATTTATAGAAATCATTAAAAGTATTACCCTCCTAACTTCTGCACAACAATTTGATTAACTTAAAGCGAAAGAAGATTTTCGAATTGTATTAGTTATATTTACTTATTCTTAGTTTATGTGGGACAGTTTGAGGACGAGAAGGAGAAGATTGTAGCGAGTTACTAAGTATTTCTGCAATAAAAAAAGATTTTTGCTCATTAGAAAATAAATCAAGATCATTTACTAGTTTGTTCAGATTCCGAACGAACTGATTGCTCAATGACTATTTCCGATGAACGATCAACTGATAATTTTTTATCATTACTTTTGTTCAAAGGTTCAGCTGAACTGGAACCATTCGATTCACGAGAATATCTTGCTGGAGGATCTCTTACTCTTGAATACAGAAACTTTTTTTTTCTTCTTTTTTTTGTATTGACTAAATAATAGAAAAAACAACATGATGGGATGTTATAAATACTTGTATAAAATAACATGGATTTTGTATGAACAATGTCAATGAGTAAAGCAACAAAAAGAAAGGGTGGGTGTGGGTGTGGGTACGGATTTGGGTTCGGATGTGGGTATGGGTGTGGGTGGGTGTCGGCGTTGTGTGGGTGCGGGTGTGGGTGGTTGCGGGTGTGAGTGTGAAGGAAGGAAGAACATCACCTACACCCACATACCGACACCCACATACCGACACCCACACCCACACTCCACACCCTGTCTTCTCTTTATCTACAGGTACACCCACACCCACAGGGTGGGGTGTGGGTGTGGGTGTGGGTGGGTGTGAGTGGTGTGGGTGTGGGTGTGGGTGGGTGTG